TGAAGATAAAATAAAGTCCGAAATTTTTTTTTCGCATAATAAAGTAAATTACATTAGCTTTAATTTAATATATATATAAAAGTATCAGACTTTCCGGAACACTTTCAAAATTTAAGTTGAAAAAGTAAATTTTTTGTGAAAAAGTTGTCATTTTAAATCCCCCCCTGTGGGCAGGTTAAGGGTCAGATTTACAAAAAAAATATACCAAATGATAAGTAAAGACATCAAGCATCTATATAAAAAAAAATTATATTGATATGTTCATTTTTGAAAAAGTTAGAGCATTATTAAGTTAAAAATATAAAAAAAAATTATTTTACAAAAATCGTAATTTTTTATTAACTTTGATGTCAACTTTCACCACGAAGACAAGTCCAGAGGTCAAATTTTTTTTTTTCAAATTAAAGTATATTACATTAGCTTTAATTTAAGATATATATAAAAGTGTCAGACCTTCCGGAACATTTTCAAAAGTTAAGTTGAAAAAGTTAATTTTTTGTGAAAAAGTTGTCATTTTAAATCCCCCCTTGTGGATAAGTTAAGGGTTAAATTTATGAAAAAAATATACCAAACGAAAAGTAATGATATTACACATCTATATAAAAAATAATTATATTGATATGTTCATTTTTGAAAAAGTTATGGCACTTTTAAGTAAAAAAAATTGAAAAAATTTCGAAAATTAGCGATTTTTAAATTTGTAATTTTTTTGGAGGTTTCCCCCTTTTACGGGGAACGAGGGAATTTTTTTCAATTTTTAAGGGTAATGTCTTCGACTAGATACGATTTGTGATCTTTTGACGTATCATTGAAAGAAATTGGTTCGGTGAGAGCTGAGAAAAAGTGGTAACAGACACAAAAAAAAAAAAATAAAAAAATAAACACATCTTAGTAAAACCAATACCTTCTCAGCTTCGCATCGAAGCTAAAACACAATTTTTATTTTTTTAATTTTTAAATTGAAGATATTACTGATATTCCTAATTCTTTAGGATAAAAATGTAATAATAATATGTTAAAATAAATTATAGTCCAAACTATTATTATTAAATTTTCAAAATTAAATAACTATTTTAATGATTTAACATTTTACATTTTTAATTATTAAGCAATTTAATCTAGTAAATTAATGGTTGAGAAAAAAAAATTATATTTTTTAAATAAAAAAATTGGTTTTAATTGTTTTCAACAGGATTAGAATGGAAACAAACTCGTGTTCCAGTAACAATATCCATTAGAGCAACTCCGTGTAGAATTTGCTATAAAGAAGAAGCTTTCCATAGTTTTTCCTCAGAGTGCAGTCATTGGTTTTGCAAAGAATGCCTTGAAAATTCTTTACAAAAGAAAAATTACTGTCCAATTTGTTATGAAGTTTATGATGAAAATTATGAGAATATATAAAATTTTATTTAAGAGTGTTATCCAAAAATAATATTTTTTAATTTTAATGTTAAATTACATTGTTTATTGTACAAGATGTTCAACTAACTTTTTCTCGCGTAATATCTTTAATAATAAAAAATAAGATCTAGATAATATTTTGTCAGAAGTCATTATTATAAAACTTAAATTAACATAAAAAATATAGCTCTATCCCTTTCCTTGTCCTTAAGATTATAATATTTTTAAGTTTTCAAATGGAAATATATATATTTAACTAGCTTATCAAATAAAAAATGTTCTAACTAAGATAATAACTGGTCATTATGAACTTTTGAACCGATATTTTGTAATTTTTTTAACGTTTTACTATAATAGTCTTGCTTCGAACACGATAGCGCTGACATGCCGCTCTTAACGGTCGACAAAATATTTCAAATTTAAATTGTTTCTTTAACGTATATATTTAAATTTTCGGCTTTTATAATTAATGCAACGAATAATGTTTCAGAAAATTTCTTTTCCAAAGCCTCTCTCAGCAGCATAAAAATTCAAATATTAATACGAGATTATTATAGAAAAACCATTCATTTTTTAAAAGAAAAAAATTTATAATTTCATAGATACCAATTACACGAGGAAAAATAGCTCAACTCTCACACGTTTCATCTGTTCATAATAAGAAGGTAACTCCATCTGACTTAAATAATAATAATACACCATTTTTGTAAAAATAACTGCCAATTCTCCGATTGTTTCTTATTCTCAAAACCAAAATAAATTATTTTCTGATTTCCTAAACGAGTTTAAATCTTTAATAAATCCACTCCTCTGTCTTCTAATTGGTATTAAGTTACTACTCCATAAAAATGCCAAAACTAACTTGCATACTAAACTTATAATATTTAAAAGCTTTTTTAAGCCAGTAGGTCGTACGGTATTAAAATATGGGGAACAACAAAAAAATAAAATATTAGCAAAATTCAAATTTTACAATCCAAATGCCTTCATCGAGTTCTTAACGCCCACCTTATATATAAAACGAAACAATTCATAAAGTCCTTTCACCATTTTACTGTAAAACAAATTGCTATCGCATAAACATGTTTGTCATAGAAGTAACAAAATATACTACTTTATAAATTTTTATAATTTCTCTGTACAAATTAAAATATTAAATTATTAAATATTAATTTCATACTATATCTAATTACTACAAAAAATATTATTCATAGATTATACTTTTAATCTAAGAACTACTAATCAGGATATAATTAAGGAATAATGCGTAATCCAAAATACGGTTTAGCGTGTACGTAATGTACCAAATAAATGAATATTGATGTATTTATATATCTATAGTTAGTTCGCTCTAACGATTTTTATTAATGCGTACACTTATGACACACCGCACAATTGTATGCTAACCGTATCTGTAAATGGCGTAGGAGAAAATAACAGTCGCGATACAGACGGCGAAAGTGTAAACAAAAAACTAACCAAAAGACTGAAAAAGAAAACAACAAAAAAACAGAATCGAGCAACCAGTTAAGGTGTACGTCGGAAACGCAACAGAACGCAATATCGGTAAACCACATTCGGCGGCGGCCTTATCTCAGTGTCAAGGGCGGAGAGACAATCGATGACAACCGATTGTCATATTAATAGCTGGACGGCTGATATCGAGAGAGACACGGGTGAGCGCCAGCCTAGAGCAAAAAACGGTGCCGTGTCAGGAAATAGAAGTTAATTTTGCTTTTGTAATTATGCACCAATTTCTTAGAATTGAACACTATCTACAGATTTGCATAGAAGTGTTTCTTATAACAGTGATTAAAATTACTGTCAGATATCACCTATACTTGTCCCAACTATCCAACAATACTGTGCCGCGACCCCATTGTGCTATCATTTTTTAATTTTACTATTTAAAATACTTTTAACAATTTTTATCAAATTAATTTTTCACTTCAAATTTTATTAATATTTTCTTTATCATTATAAAATACTAACTGCAAGTATAATTCATAATACAAAAGTGAATTATATGTTTCCTCAACATACAAGTATTTTAACTTTGCATCGAAGCTGAACGAAACAAATTGATACATATAACTGTGAAATAATTGTAATTATTATGTATACACAATAATGAATAAGTTATTCATTTTAATTTCCCGACTTCATTAAAAATTTGTGAATTTATTCTAGTTGAAGATATCGTCTTCGAATATTGAAAAAAATTGCCTCAGTTTTAGAAATTTAGAAAAATATCCTAAAATTACAGTACTATAAAAAAGTCATTTTTTTGAATATTGGTCTACTATTAGAAATTTCTAGACAAATTAAAAATTTCAATTCTTGAAAATTTTCTGTGACGTCTGACATTTTTGTACTATTTTGTTACATATTTTTGTAGTATTATGTCCATTACCATATTACATTGTATTCCTCGGACTTTTATAAATTAATTCAATAACTGTTTAGAAACATAATTATAAACAAGTCTGAGCATATTTAAATTATATTAAAATAATAAGTTTAACTAGTAGACACTATATTTTGAGTGAAACGCATATTCATCGAAGTCAACTGCATCATCACTCAAGAAGTAAAACTGTAAGTGAGATATTGATATTCTCTGCAATGTTAATAGGTTTATTTGTATCTAATGGAGTACAAGTATTTATCATATTTTAAGCTCTATTTCTTTATTCTGAACTCACGAAACATACGCCACGATAGGAAGGGTATTATATAATTTAACTTATTTTTCTATTGTAAAGANCAGTGTTGAGAAGGAACTAGTTCCAAAAGGAACGGATTCCTGGAACGAGTTCTTTTTGAAGGAACGATGCTAGGAACTGCTTCCTTTTAAAATAAAGGAACGAGGAAAATGAACAAATTCCATTTTTTAAGGAACGTGAACGGAAATTACAGTTCCTAAAATTTTTTATAAACATGTTTTAGTGTAGTTTTCTTCGTATCTAGACATTAAAATATTATGGTATTTTTAGTTGACTTTTGACAATGGAAGTCCCCTATATACCCAGCCGAGATCGTAGGCTGTTTAAATGAATCAATTGATTATAGATAGAGTTATTATCACATGTAGGTATACAGTAAATATTTAATATATGTGTACATATATTAAATAATGCACCGAATATTATCGTCGTTTCTTGTTAACTAATTTATGTTAAAGGTTTTGGTTTTTCTGATTTATTATTTCTAACTTATATGTAGACAATAGACATTGGTCGCGTTGACACAAGTCGTTAGCATTTACTACCTGCTTATAAATATAATTTTCGAATACTTTTAGATAAGGAATACTACAAATTTGTTTTGTATTCGACTGCTGATGAAAATCATTGATGACCGTTATCATGATCTCATTGCCACAATTTTTTAAATAACTTNATGTCCATTACCATATTACATTGTATTCCTCGGACTTTTATAAATTAATTCAATAACTGTTTAGAAACATAATTATAAACAAGTCTGAGCATATTTAAATTATATTAAAATAATAAGTTTAACTAGTAGACACTATATTTTGAGTGAAACGCATATTCATCGAAGTCAACTGCATCATCACTCAAGAAGTAAAACTGTAAGTGAGATATTGATATTCTCTGCAATGTTAATAGGTTTATTTGTATCTAATGGAGTACAAGTATTTATCATATTTTAAGCTCTATTTCTTTATTCTGAACTCACGAAACATACGCCACGATAGGAAGGGTATTATATAATTTAACTTATTTTTCTATTGTAAAGAATCAAACTCTCCCCATTACACTTCTTTTTGATTTTATAATGATCTATGATTTAAACCATGACTAAGTATTAGAAAAACTTGAAAATAAAACCCTACCAAAATTTGATATAGACAACCTCTCATTTTATTAATATCATAAATATTGGAACATAGAAATTTTTTTAAGGAGGGGTACGTAAAATTATCTCCCAACATTTCAGAATTTGAATGTCATGGCTCAAAATTCATGCGGGAAACACAGTTTTTGAACGTACAGTGTAACCTTTTCAAGTTTATAGTTCATTGTGTTACACTTATGAATCACAATCACTGTGATTTATGATTGTGTTACACTTCATGAAAAAAATATTTTGTTTCTTATTTCAACCTTTTGCACTATATTTAAGTTGGTAAAATAAAAGAAATAAGTTTAAATTAAATAAAAAAACATCTGTTACAGTATTTTCTATAAGAAAATTATTTAAAAGTAATGTCAGAGAATAAGGCATTTAAAAAGGTAATAAATCGCCCTACGGTAGAATTTTATTTAAAAAAATTGTTTTTATAATAAGTTTTTTAAAATCATAAGATAATTTGATATAACAAATAATGGCAAGTAACTTTTCTTACAATTAATTTTAAAATCTAAATTAAAAATTTTTTTTTTTTTTTTTAAAATTTAAACTTAATCTTATGTTTAACGTTGAACTTAGTTCTATCAGAAGGTAATATTATGAATCATAACCTATTATTTTAGAATAAATATATTGTCTGCTTCTTTACAAATCATTCGTCATTTTTTTTCATAAATAATATCCCAAGTTCAGCGTTTTTCATCCAGTGACACTAGGAAAAATATCGCTTTATAAAGAAAATTGTTATTAATACAAACAATAATTACCTGGTTTATTAGCTTCGATGCGAAGCTGAGAAGGTATTAATTTTACCATGATGTGTTTATTATTTTTTTAAATTTTTTTGTGTCTGTCACTACTTTTTCTCAGCTCTCACTGGACCGACTTTTTCAACGATGCGTCAAAAGATCACAAATCGTATCTAATTGAAGACATTACCCTTCAAAATTGAAAAATTTTCTCTCATTCCCCGCAAATGGGGAAATCTCCAAAAAAATTACAATTTTTAAAATTGGTAAATTTTGTCATTTTTTTCACTTCTTTTTCTTAAAACTTCCATAACATTTCAAAAATCAACAAATGAACATCATTTTTTTTTATATTAAGACCTTAGATATTTAACTTTCATTTGATATCATTTTTTTGAAAATCTAACACTTAACCTGCTCACAGGGGGTGGGGGGTATTTAATATAGTAACTTTTTTACAATATGCAACTTATTTACAACTTATTCAACTTAACTTTTGAAAATGTTCCGGAAATACTGCGTCCTTTAAATATATATCAAATTAAAGGTTATGTCATTTACTATAAAATAAAAAAAAATTTGTCCCGATACCTTATCTTCTATAAGTAAATTTCCACTGAAATTAAACAAAAAATGTAATTTTTATGTAAAAATCACTGTTGAAACATGAAATATTTTAATACTTAAAACTGCCATAACTTTTTCAAAAATTAACAAATCAACATAATTTTTTTTATTTGAAACCTTAGATATTTTCCTTTCATTGAATATCCTTTTTTTAAAAACTATCACTTAACCTGCTTAATGNCTTTTTTTAAAAACTATCCCTTAACCTGCTTAATGGGGGGGATTTAAAAAAGCAATTTTTGCACACAAGTTAAGCTTTTTCAATTTAATTTTTGAAAATGTTCCCGATATATTAACACTTTTATTTAATCTTAAATTAAAGCTTATATTATATACTTTACAATGAAAAAAAAATTGAAATATAGATTTTCTTTTTATTGAAAATGGCTACCGTATTCAAAACTATGCAATTTTTGTGTTAAAATTCTTGGTTTTGTATTTCATTTTATTTTAAAATAACATACAAGGGGAATACACTGTTTTTCATAAATATTATATAATTTAATTGAAATAGAGTAAAGTTCATAAAACATAAGAAGTTAATCTTATTTAAATTTTTTTACTTTTTTAAAGTCGAAAAATTAACTTTAAAATTTTAATTAGCTTAAAAAAACAATTTTATTAATTCGCGAAAGCGACGAACAGTTACCGAATCGGTAACACTAGTGTCTTTCACGGTTAGAGTATCAGGTTCGAATCCACCTAGGGCAATTAATATTTTGAATTTTTTTTTAAGTCAGAAAAATAATCAAATCATTTGATTTTTATCTCATTTTGATTCATTAACTTCAATAAATATCAAGGATCCAATCACTGTAGTCTCTTCTCATGAGATGAAATTTCTTATTTATGTTAATATAATTTTATATTATAAAATGTATAGATTAAGTGTATGACGTAAGTACTAAGACGACAATTCGCCGAATGAAGGTTTACATCTTTGGTAATTCTTGCAAAGTCAAATTAAAATAAAATCAACAAATGTTGTAGACTGTATGTCTCTTTTGTTTTTTATTGCTAATGTTTTCAATAAATAATCTTAACAAATGATAACTTAATTTCTAAAGCTCAAATAATAACAGATAGTTATATTGAACTATTAATTTAAATAAACGATATACAAAATATCCTGACCTTGCTCCCACCAATTGATATTTGACCGAGTGATGAACGATGTGTGTAAGGATGTACAGTTCAGTATTGTCGTAACACAAATAAAATAAAAGTGTACGAAGAAGATGTTGTGTATGATGAAGAAGATTTTGTGTATACGAAGCTGATGTTGAGTCTGCTGACTGGGTATTCACGTGCGTGTAATCATATAGCAACTACCGTGCTCGACTGACACTCCGGGTTAGCTGTGGGTGTTAAAAGGCCGTTGTTATAGGAAGGGAATAAGGGTAACACCTTTGTATGAGGTGGAGACGAAGTGCAAGACACAAGTACTCTAAATGTTGAGGACGAGAGTAGGTAGTTGAAAAAGGAAATATAGAGACATAACTTTATGCTGTAAGCCGGACAGCGACAACCGAGTACTGAGACTAATGAATGACACAAGGCACTGGAGTCGACTGACCAAGATGGCCATGTCTTTTGGATTTTTATAATAATTTGGACTATTGCCAATTTAGCAATAAATATTAATTGTTAATTCATCAGTCTCTAGAAGCGGATGTGCTGTCTGTATTTTAATGTAATAAATTCTCACAATAATGGTAACGTGACACCATCAGAGTATTCATATAACAGTCATACTCGACACTTCTATTGCATCCTAAGTAAGCTATTAATGTTAAGAACCCCTGATTATTATTTTGTAATTGCGTAGAGTATAGAATACATGGTCGTCCGACTGTTGTCGGACATAGGAAAATGCTGACCAAGGGATTTAGGACAACGATGGACGGAGGACTCCCACTGTAGGTCCCTTACTGTGAGTCATGGTATGGTATGCGGTAATTACACTCTTGTATCATAATTCTACTTCATTCTAATTCATTCTATTTCATTATCCTATTCATTTGTATTAATATTAAAAATTATTGTTGTATTGTATTATGTATTGTTCAGTAACATTATATATTTTTAATTTTTATTGAAAAATGAATGCTTTTCTTTTTATTAAGTTTTAATTCCTTTACCGTGTGGACCCGCACAACATAATTAGCTTCTGACAAAACGTTTTATGAAAACATTAAAATTTAGATTATCATTCTACGTGAACTACCCGTTATATAAGAGCGCTTAATAGCTCCGTTATTCCACTGTAACTATGAACATATACATAGGGAGCATACAAGAACTCAAGTGACACCATTCGCGACCATCGTACACACATACTACTCCATCAGTAAAACTAGTTAGGGCAGATTGCGCTCATGACGATGAAAAACCAAAACTCACCGACTCCCATTGCGCTATCTTGCTTTATCACGACAGAACAATAATTTTGTCATTTTTAATATAATATATTGATATGTTTATAAAACCACTTAATCCTTCCGAAACTGTCATCTCCCGAGACTGTTTATGATGCGCTGAAAAAAAGTACTTGGACGATTTCTTAATGGAAGAAATAATAATATTAATAGTTCTTTTAAAACATGATTTTCACGTTTTTTTTATTTTAGAAAATGCTTTGATTAAGAGCATGAATGGTCGATATCAACTTTTGGATCAATATTTCGGAAGTTAATGACATGTTTATAACTAGGTGCGAGGAGTGTACGGTCGAAAAATTGTTAGTGTTAAAAATGACAATACCGCGTTTCACCTCCAAGCTTTACTACAACATGTTAATAAATTCTAAAATACTGGTCTGAAAGTATGATCGATCAGTCTTTTTTTTATAAACTCACTATCTATTAAATAAACAAGTGAATTATGTATAATAACATTTGAAAAAAATACAGATGACACCCTTATAATGTATATGCAATGAACATAAAAAATACTCATTTAACACGAAAAACATGTACATAAAGAAAAAAAAAATTCTCGATAATTCTTTTATCGTGACTAATAAAGTGGTTTATTATAAATGTATCAACCTATACATTAAATCTTATACTTATTTGATACGGATGGATTATTTTATTTCAGTGTTGACTTTTTCATGTAACTGTGAGTATTATATTACACTGTGACTTATAAAAACTGATAGATTATACCTTCATAAGTTTAATTTAAGTCTCATAATTATTTATTTTAACTATACTATTTGGAATTTTAGATATGTTGTTTTTTGCATATAATTTTTCAATATATTAATATTATAAAAATATTGTAAATAATCAATGTTGTAGTAAAATATAATACCCCCAATGGAAATTATTTTAGTATTAACCGATAAATATTAAATTAATAAAAACAATTAATTCATATTTTTCATGAAAATCATCAAATATTTTGTTTTATTGCGTATAACTTTTTTAATAATCAAATATTCTATATTATTAAAATTATGTAAAACTATAAAATAAGTAATTATTTACACTTATATAAAAATAAGTATACATTTTTTTGTACAACTGAAAAAATAACGAAAAATAAAAAAAAACCGAAAATATTTTAAAAGTATCTAAAATAAAAAAGTTAATATATGTTTAATATGATAATATGTTTCCAATTATTAGTTTAATCATTTTTTTACTAAAATAGACTAAATATAACTGGTGTATTTATATATATATATATATATATTTATATAATACACTTATAAATCATAAAACTTGTAATCAGGATATAAATAAGGAAATAGGAGATTATGTAGCCTTTGGACTAATCCGCCAATTTGTTTAAAATAAAAACTATCTACAGATTTGCATCGAAGCGTTTTTTATAATAGTGATTTTAATCACTATTAGATATCATTATACTTGACCCAACTATACCACGTTCCCACTGAACCGCGATCCCACTGTACTGGTTTTTTTTTAAATTTTACTGACATAGATTTTACATAAGGAAATATCGAACAAAAGCATAAAAAATTCTTGTTTAGGAGCTGAAAACAGAGTTTGTCAAATTAAAGAGCACTCTTTTAGAAAAAAAATACCCTTTTTATATACTGGATAAAGTGAACCAACGATATCTAGTGATTTTCTGAGAAGCTTTTCAAATATTTAGGATTGGTTGATTGTGAAAGATACCTTGTGTGGGCGCTTTTAATGAATTATATGAGACTGGTTTGAAACATGTGTTAATAAATGATTAATTAATGAAAATACTACAAAATCACGCATCCCTTCCACCTATTTCCAATCATTTAAGTCCAACCAAACCTACCCAAAAATTGTAATAACTCAAAAATAATATTGCAAAATTTCATTCTGTCCAGTATAATTTTATTTATTCTATTTTCCATTTAATATTGTAAGACTAATTATAGGTTCTCTACTCATAATTGTCTTGAAGGATAGCCAATAGAAAATAAGAGAGTATATGAGACAAATAACACTGAGTTAGCTTAAAAACTATAAATAAAGAAATTACTATAAAAGTGCTGTTATCATAGCCTGTAATAAAAAATAAATAATAATAATAATAGTTAACAACAATATAGGGTTCTCGATTAAGGATAAGATATCTATTTTATCAAAAACTATTTAATATCTTCAATTTCGCAAAGGAAAATATTGTTTGTTTAAAAAAAACACTCCAGTTGTAAGTAGTTAAATAATTTTTTTTTTATTCCTTTAGTCATAGAAACATTAACTTCAATTTTTTTAATGGAAAAAAAATTTCAAAAATTAATTTTTATAATTTTTTAACTGTATTATTTGATTACATTTTAAAATTGTTTAAAGATTTGGAAGTAAAATAAAAATTTAACTTAAATTAATTCATTTACTAAAAACCTGATCAAAATTTCAGTATTTCAGTTTTGTATACAAAGTTGCATCAATTTAATAAAAAAAATATTTAATAAAATTACTAGTGAGAAATTGAGTAATAAATTAACTATTAGTTAGGGAAAAATTGATAGCCTTGATTCCAAAAAATTATGTCTATTATAGCGTGAATTTTACATTAGTATTAAAATTCAAGTATAGTCGTTCGTGTTATTCTTATGTGTTTCTTTAAAATTTTTTGTAAAAATGAATGTTATAATTATATTTTGCATTAAATAATCTAGGTGCTCGATCGAATTCAGGCAAGTACAAGTTGTATCAATTTATGTCAAATCATATCAAAATCAATTTTAATTTGTTGTAAACACGATTTTTTTAGTTTTATCGACTAATATGGCCATAATAATATAGTATGACATAAAAATTAAATATGTTTCACATTATTTAGTTATAGCTTAAAGCTTAAAAATGTCATAATAATGTTCAGATTCTTTGAAGCTGTCATGCAACCATATCTATATAGTTTGACATAAATTTTCCAGTTTATTTTTATTTTAAAAAATTTTTTAATTACAGTGCTAATCATTAAATAAAATGAAAATATGTCGATATTTTTGATTATTCATCCTTCAATTAGTAATAAACAATTTCATGGCTAATTAAAATTGTTGTTAGGTATAGGTATTATGTAATAATAGAGTATGATATCGAATAATCGAAAATATTTTAAGTTTGATGTAATAATAAATAAAAATTTATTACAGTATTAGAAACCGAAGAAGGAGGTATTGTATATTTATTTCCTAAGTAAAGTAAATACAATTGTTAAAAAAAAACATAACAGCGTTTAAAATATTATAAAATGTGTAGTAATTAATTAGTCTAGCGGGTTACAAAAATTAATATAACATTTGAGAGACATTTTGTCAATACTGTAGTCGGACTGTAGCTGGATTTTAGAAAAATAATGAATCAAACAATGATATTAATCTAATTATTCTATGAAATGCATATCTTACAATAAAAAGATGCAAACGAATTTCATGGTGAATCGAAATTATTATTTGGTATAGGTATATTTGGCATATATAATATACAAAGTGATGCATTTATCACAACTCGATCAATAATTTTTAAAATAAAATGCTTAAAAATCTTGAAAGATTAATAAGTAATAATAATAAATTATTACAGCTTTAGAAACTGAAAATGAAGGTTTGTATATTAATTTTCTAAGTAAAGTAAATACAATTTTTTTAAGAAAACTTAAATGCTTTTATAATTGTATTGAAGTTAAATAATTTTTTGGATTGAAAACTTACAAAAAACAATATAAGTATTAGTCAAAACTATTTTTTTGAAGTGAGATTTCTTTATAGAGGGCCCGAAAAAAACAGATTATTGAGCGGCACGGTCAGCATCACTGTCGGCATCGTTGTCGGCAACAGTCGATCACGGTCGGCTCTAAAGCATATTTTATATTATAATGTAGTACTGTATTTTCGAAAATTAAAGTAATTTTATTTAATTTCAAATAATTTTGATTGTGCATAAAAATTTTTAAAGAACCACAATAGATGTAATATTCACAGGATATTTTCATAATGAAAAGTTTCACTTCATCCGCGCGTACTCGTAACAAGCAATGTTTATTTTACCTTTGAAGGCCCCTAAAATATTACGAATAAAGTTCGAAATTGTAGTCTGACTAGTGATTCTTGAAAAAATAATTATGGGAATTTCCCTAGAAAAACTGCCCAAAATATATCCAAAATCTGTAATTTGTTGGGAATATTATTATTTTTCTATATTTTAACTTAAAAAAATGTATATAAACTTAAATCCAAATCCTACTTCTTTTCAATATTTTTGTTAAATATTTTACGACAATTATTTTAAAATATTATATACCTGTGGATAATTTTCAAGACCTGATATGATACTTTTATAAATTGTTCAAAAAATCAAAATAAACAATAAATTTGTCTTATTTTGTAAAATTTTGTGGAAATACCCATTTTTGAAGTAAATAATTGAAAATATTATTTACATATGATTATAATAATATTAATAATATTTTAAAATAATCCCAGTACTTCTACCGAAATTTGTAGCATAACTATAGGGCTCCGGGTTTGAGGCGGAGCTAAATACATAACTGTTATTATAGTCGGTACTTTTTCTCAGCTCTCACCGGAACTATTTTTTTTTTAACGAAACATCAAAAGATTACAAATTGTATCTAGTTATAAAAATAAGTATCCGACAGCAAAAAATCAACTTAATTATGATGTAAAGAATTTTGAAACTGAGAAAAACAATTAGCATAATTTATACATTTGTAACATCAGCAATTTTTTTTCAACTGTGTATTTTAATTTTTTTTTTGGGGCGGGGGTGCTTAGCCCACACCACGGTTTTGTGTTGAATTTGTTAATAATTAAATAATAAACGATTTTTGTAAAAAGATGTATTCGTATCTTTAAATGTTTGTCAAATATTTGGGCAAATCGATAAAATATAGTATAATTTTAAATTTTGCTCGAAAAATAATGAGTTTAAAAAAATATGTAAGAATTAAACTTATAGTCCATAAAATTGTCCACAATTTATATTCTACAATTTTTTTTCTATAATCGCTCATTTCCGAATTAAGTACGAAACACTAGAAAACTACCCCTATTGTCCAATTTTCAACCTCGAGTAGGCACGGATTAAACTTGTCTGATTGAAGAGAAATTTTTTTTGGTTCGTTTTTACATGTATATTAGGGTGGTCCTTATTTTTTTTTTTCGAAATTTGATCGGGCCACCCCCCAAATTTGTTCTAAACTATAAAAAAATGGTNATATGAACAAATTTGGGGGGTGAGACCAAGGAATTTCAAAAAGAAATTTTTCATAATCTACAGGGTGGCCCACCACTCACTGACAACTTAAATAACTTTTGATCCAGTTACTATTTTTAGTTGATTTTTTTTTTAAATAATAGTTATACGTTAGGTCTATAATATAGACTCTATATCTATATCTCAATAATTAATTTTTTTACATTTTATTAAAAATATTAATTATTTTTAAATTTTAAATAAAATGTAAAAAAAAAATCTAAGATAGCTATTTTGTAGAGTAGAATTTAAGAAAAATTTTAGTAAAAAAATATCTTATTAATATTCAGTAGTAAATATTCTGTAGCGTTTTGAAGTTTGTGAAAATTTGAATTTTCATGTACTATTTTACGGTATTAAACATTGAAATACGTATTGAGAAAAGGACAGAAGAAAACGCTATCTTTTCAATATACTTTTGAATGAGAGTGATAAGTAATAATTGCCTTATCTAATTTCTTATCATGGTATTTATGCCAAGTTTGTAATGTATACACACTATCATCATATGTATACACAGTAATCATGAAAAGATAGCGTTTTCTTCTGTCCTTTTCTCAATACGTATTTCAATGTTTATAACCGTAAAATAGTACATGAAAATTCAAATTTTTACAAACTTCAAAACGCTACAGAATATTTACTACTGAATATTAATAAGATATTTTTTTACTAAAATTTTTCTTAAATTCTACTCTACAAAATAGCCATCTTAGATTTTTTTTTTACATTTTATTTAAAATTTAAAAATAATTAATATTTTTAATAAAATGTAAAAAAATTAATTATTGAGATATAGATATAGACCTAACGTATCACTATTATTAAAAAAAAAAATCAACTAAAAATAGTAACTGGATCAAAAGTTATTTAAATTGTCAGTGAGTGGTGGGCCACCCTGTATAACTAAGGACCTCTCTAATATATATAATATATATATATATTTATACAGAGAAGATTAGATCAAACTGGCAACTCACATAAGTATTCATTATTTTTAATCAATTTTTACAATATATTCTTAAGATTTTCCTATGGTATTAAATGTTTGTCTTTATTATGTAAATAATAAATATATATATACGAAAATAAACATTATCTTTTTACGTTATTTACTGGTAATAGTACGCGATTTATTTTCTATAAAAATTATTAACACTTGAATAAATATCTGTAATTGACATAAAAAAACAAGTAGTAGTAAAATTAAATTTATTTAAAAAAATTTAAAAAACGTTATTTAAATTTGATATAATAAGTAATAGTAAACATAATAGTGAATAAGTACATTTATTATCAAATCTCCTAACATATATAGAAAAACTATATTCTATAATAATATAGAAACGATAGAATCACGCGTGCTGTTACCAGCAAATAACCTAAAAAGATAATGCTTATTTCCGTTTTTTACATAATATAGACTAACATTTAATACTATAGGAACATCGTAAAAAAATCAAAATTAAACAAACTTCAAAATGCTGTATAAAAGTAACTACTGAATTAAAATAAGAGTTTTTGGCATCAACATTTTTCTTTAAAACTCATCTATAAATTAGGCTATCTTAAATATTTTATGTTAACAAAAAAATTAATTTTTATAACATTTTTTGTACTTGCGAAAAATAACGTAAAACATATATTAAACATAGTCTATATTGTAAAAGTAATTTAAAAAACAAAACTATTAAATATTATGTGGATCATAAGTTAAATAAGTTAAATCTGTTTTATTCTCTCTCTACATATATATATATATATATATAGAGCATGGCCCAGTATCCTCATATCTTAAATAACTTTTGAACTAATTAATATTTTTGGCTAATTTTTTTTCAAATAACAGTTATATATTAACTATTTCACAATAATTTATATTTTTATATTTTATTAAAAATAATAATTAATTTTAAATTTTAAATAAAATGTAATACAAAAAATCAAAAAGAGGGAAGATTAGATTAAGTATAAACACTCGTGCATAGAAACCAAGTGTGCGTTAAATAAGGATAAGAACAGCAGGTGAAAAAGTAGTTTATAGGCTTGTTTAAGTAAGATAAAAACGGTCTAAAGATTATCACAATGTAAGGTGTATAAAAAGTGATGATTAGATGGTGCTAAAAAAGGATTATGATGTGAAAAAAAGGAGGAAGATTATTTTGAAAAATTACTGAATGAAAATTCCAAAAGAAACATTAGATTAGTGAAAATGATCTAAAAATGATAATCAGTGAAAAAGAGATATGGGAGGTTGTGGCATCAATGAAAAAGAATAAAGTAATAGAGACAAAGATATTTAAAAGCAAAGAGACATATAGGAGTGTGGAGATTATAAAAGCATAATGTTTATAGGCCATAGTATAAAGATTTTGTAAAAAGTAATAGACAAAAGAATAAGATCCATTAGTAACAAGAACCAATTTAGTTTTTTGTCTGTAATTCAACGATGGAGCCAGTTTTTTGTGTGAGAAACTAATAGAAAAGTGTAGGGAATAGAAAAAAAAACTGTGTATAGTATTAATAAATTTGGAGAAATCGTAAGATGGAGTATTGAGAGAGGTTTTAAAGTGGCATTAATGATAAAAGTAGTCCCAAAAAATTATATTAATATAATAAAGGATATGTATAATGGCACTTGTATTAGGGTAAAAAGTGTAGGAGGAGTAACAGAAGGTTTTAAGGTAAGAGTAAGAGTGCACCGAGGTTTTTTTAAACCCTTACTTATTTTCTATAGCAATGGATGCAATTACTAGAGAAATACAAGGAGAGATGCTGTGGTGCATGTCGTTTACTGACGATATAGTGTTAATAGGAGAAAATAGGGAAGAAATTAATCAAAGGCTAGAGCTGTGGAGATCAGCTCTTGAAGAAAATGGTTTAAGAATAATTAAAAATAGTATAGAGTATATAGAGTACGAGTTTGATAAAAGAGAACACGAGGTAGGTGAAATGAAGAAATCTGTGACAATAAGCGAGGACGTGATAAGAGAGGTGGAATGTTTTAAATATTTATGATTAATTGTGTAAAAGAGCGAGGTGTTGACGCGGATGTAATACACAGGATTAAGTGTTGGTGATTGAAATGAAGCGAAGCGTCTGGTATGTTATACAATAAAAGGATTTCAATGTGGCTGAAAGTTAAGTTCTATATGATTGTAGTGAGACCAGCTATGATGTATGGTTTAGAAGGTTGTAGATTGACAAGATAATAGAAAAGAAAACAAGTTTAGCAAAGTGACTAAACAAGATAGGATAAGTTTGAACATATATAAAGGAGTACAGGTGTAGCGTTAACTATGGATAAGATAATAAAAATAGACTTAGATGGTTTGGTCATATTATGAAGAGAGATGAATCGAAAGATGTGAGAACAGTTATGGATATGAATGTGTGCTTAGATGATGTGGGATATCTTGTTAAGTGGAAGTTTAGGACAATGGTGGCAAACCCAAATTAGTTGAGATGAAAGCGAGGAAAAAGAGTAAAAAGAAAACTAAATATAATATTTAAATGTTCGTTGTAAAAATTTTCAGGGAGATTTTTGCAACTGAACATGATTTTTACAAAATTTAAATTAAAATTAAAAATTTGAAATTACAAATTTTTAATGTTATATTAAATATAAATAATTATTACTTTTTATAATTTATTCGCAAAAATTACAATACTAAACTATTCAATATCAATTTCATACTAAATTAATTATTATAAAAAGTATTTATTCATGTATTATACTTATTAAACTTGTTATATGAGAAATAAGAGTTCATTTTACTATAAACATAATTGAACAATTTTTTTTTAATTTAACATTATGTACAGATTTGCTCCGAAGTGATTTTGATAGTTATTTTAATCACTTTCAGATATTATATATACTTGCCTTCACGGTTCCGCAACCACTTTTTGCTGGATATTTGGTTTTAAATAAGGCTAATGATAATTTAGAAATAGATTTGTCATCATATACTTAAGATTTTATCTATGTTCTGTAAATTATAAAGTTTTTGTCGATCCTTTTTGGATCTTGAGTGGGACACATTAGGTTCATTATTTATTAACTTATGCATTATACAAAATAATCTATTTATCACAATCTAATGATAACAATTTAAAAAATTATAAGCTGGACATTTTATATATTTGATGAACTATAAAAAAAAAGTTGATTACAGGATTAGAAACTGAAGAAAGTATGTATAATAATATTCTTAATAAAGTAGATGCCATTATTTAAAAAAAAAACATAAATTTCTTATGCTTTTAGCTTTGATGCGAAGATGAAAAAATATTAATTTTACTATGATATGTTTTTTATTTTTTGTGTATGTTACCACTTTTTCTCAGCTAACACCAAACTGATTTCTTTCAACAAAAAATTTAAAAAAATTCCCTTTTCCCCGTAAATGGGAGAAATTTCCAAAAAAAAAAAAAAAAATTAAAAATATTCGGTAACTATCAACATTTATTCATTTTTTTGTATACTTAAAACTGCCATAACTTTTTGAAAAATTTATGAATCAATAAAATTTTTTTGTATAGATATATTAACCTATCATTTGAAAAACGTTTTTATTTTATCTGACCCTTTAGCTGCCCACAAGGGGTATTCATTATAACAACTTTTTTACAAAAATTAACTTTTTCAAATTATCTTTTGAAAGTGTTCTGAAAATACTAAAACTTTAATATATATCTTAAATTAATATTTAAGTACTGTACTTTATTATAGAAAAAAAATTTCTAACTTTATTTTGTCTTCACGGTCAAAATGGCTAACGTATGCTATTTTTGTGTTAATATTCTCAATTTTATATTTTACAATATCCTCTATATATTTCTATAACATTTCGAAAAATTTATGGGACAATACAAATATTTTATGAAAAATACTATTTATATACCTCTTTTATACTTCTTTTTTAAATCAGATCATTTTCCTTTATACAGAGGCGTTCAAAACATAAAAATACATATAAAACAAAGAGCTTTTTCAACTGAAATTTCGTAAATGTACCGAAAATACTGACATCTATATATATACATATTAAATTTAAGTTTTTGTAACAGATTTTAATATGAAGAAAAAAAGGTTCGAACTTTATTTTGTTTTATGGTGAAAATGGACATCAAAGTTAATAAATAAATATGATATTTGTATAAAAATTATTTTTATATTTTTTAATTTTCTATGTTATAACTTTTTGAAAAATGTAGGTATCACTACAATTTTTTTATGATAAATACTTTATATATACTTCTTTCATTTGACATACTTTTTTTTTAAAATGGGACCATTTCTCTTTATACAGGGTTGGTTCAAAATTTATAAATGCGTATAAAAAGTAAAACCTTTTCAACTTATTTTTAATTAAAATATATTTATTGATTATGAATACGTAACATAATAATCAAACATGAATATTTTTGTTATATTTATTAGAATAATTTTTTTATTATTTAGGCCATATGCGAAACTTAATTGTAGATTTTAAATGAGCGCAAAAAAGGGGTTTTTTAATTATTGCATTTACTTTATAATTTTTTATAATTTTTCCATAAAAATTACAATACTATATTAAATAAATATCAATTTCATACTATATTTAATTGCCATAATAAATATTTATTCATATATTACACTTATTAATCATAAAACTTGTAATCAGGATATAATGAAGGAAACAGAAGATCATGTTGCTTTTGGAATAATGCACCAATATTTAAACTTAATCACTATCTACAGATAGTGTTTACTTACTTACTTACTTTGGAGCAAGGGAACTATTTTCAATTTTTCAGGGTAATTTCTTCGACTAGATACCATTTGTGATTTTTTGATGTAACGTTGAATGAAATCGGTTCGGTGAGAGCTGAGATTAAGTGTTCGCAGACACACAAAAAAAAAACACATTATAGTAAAATTAATACTTTCTTAGCCTCGCAAATTTTTTTTACAATATTACATTTATTTTGCGAGTAATCGAGTTGTTTTCTGATAAACCTATTCGAGTTAGGTATACATTTTTCAACTTATTATAGTATTTAAAACCAAAAACTATTTTACTAATCTTTTTTCTTTAAGTTTGTACTATTTGTCAAAATAATCTTTCCTCAACAATCAGAACTCATGATTGTGGTAACAAATTTCATAAATATTGTCTTGATAAATGGGAATACATGAGTCCACTTCATGATTGCCCTATTTGTCGTGTATCATTAACTAAAGGTAAGAAATACTTTTAAAATAATAATAATTATTATTATTACTATAGGCAATAATTATAACTATTGCCAAAGAATGTCTAGAAAATATAATCAAGCTAACATAAATGTGTTAGATAACTAAAATAATATTGTTGAAATTATCAAATGATTATAGTTACGACAATTATTAACTGAATTAGGTATTTTTAATAATTAACTAATTTTAAGTTAGGAATCCTATCCTTTGTAATGTTACAAGAATACTTATATAATACTTATTTGTATTTAAAAATAATAAATATCATAATGGAAAATTTAAAAATAGTTGATGTTTTTTTAAATAGCGTGTAGTTTTTGTGATAAATCAGTTATGGCAGATAGTAGATTTATTTATCATACAAGATGTTGTAAAGAAAGGTTATGTTACTACTGTTGTATGCGTTGCGTATGCGCTTGGAATTCCAAATGTAAAAAATGTGGAATATCAAATGAAAAAGGTAACTATAAAAAATATATAGCTCTGAAAAAAACTTATCAATGTTTCACCACACGAAAAGAAATTATTGAATAATTCCAAGAGCAACATCATGTTATATTTAGAAATATAATGTATTTGGTTATTGACCAAACTAGGAAATTTAGAACTTGGTCATTGGTTAGCATCGAGGTTCAATCGGGGTTCGTAGAGTATGAGAGTTTAGACAAATAAAGACACGTAGATACAAATAGAAAATAATTAATAGCCCTCATTATTAGATGTATTGATAAATTAATGTAGAAGCTCTTTTAACAGGACACTGAGGTATTCTTGAAGTGGTTCCTCTTCGTTACCTATATAAGTTAAAAAAATTGTTTAACTTATAAAATGTAACACAAGCTTTAAAAAAGCAAAAGCTTTAATTTTACATTTGTTTGAAGTTTGAAGTAATTCTGGAACATTTTCGAAAATTAAAATGAATAGATAAACTTTTCATGCAAAATTTGCCATTTTTAATATCCTCTGTGGGTAGATAAAGGGTCAAATTTAAAACAAAATTTATACTTAAAAATAGTAAATTACCTTAAGTATTTATAAAAAAAGTTATTTTGATTCGTCCATTTTTTGGAAAATTATAATTTTAAAAAAATTTTGGGGGTTTTGTCCCATTTTAAGGAGCGAAGGAAATTATTTAAATTTTTCAGTATAATCTTTAACTAAATAAGATTTGTTATCTTTTGACGTATCGTTGTGAAGAATCAGTCCATTTAGAATTGAGAAAAAGTAGTGAAAGATAACAAAATAAAATAGAATAATTAACACATAATGGTAAAATGAATGCATTTTCATCTTCCCGTCGAAGCTAAAAAATTATTTTTTCAAAATTTCATAACAATCATTTTTTAAATTTATTTATAAAAGTTTTAGTATGTGACTGTACTGAGATGCACTACATGCTCTCTCTATTTATTAAAAAACATGTAACTTAATATTTTTAGTTTTTTTATTTATTTTTTATTTAAAATATACTTTTAAAATAATAAAAATATACGAAATTCATTAAATAACAATTTTGCTAATTAAAAAATGTAAAATACTGTAAGTAAAATGATACATGAGACAAAAGTTAAAAGTAGAAGCCAGTAGTATACAAATTTATTATTTTTGTTTGAACCACTTAAAAGGAACCCAAGTTTGTGAAATTTGCCATAGAAATATACATTAGCATGGAAATATTTAAATAGTATGGTAGAAATATTTTTTATTTAAAGAGGGATTAATCCATAACTATAACCATGATAACATAATATTACTAAGTTTTTAAGTCGATTAAAAAAAATTTGTTCAGACTGAATAAATTAACAAAATTTGTAAATTCAAATAAATCCAGACACTTATGTTAAGAGTTGTCAATTAGATCTAAAATACTTTGTATGCCATTTAATCCTCAGACCTTTGATAAATTAAAATACGTTAACTTTACAGATACTGTAGTTCAGTAATTGTTTTTATTTTTTATTACTACATAGTAGTTAATTTAGAATGAAAATAATTTTGATGCGCATAAAAAAAGATGAAATATTGATTTTTTTTTACAGGAGTTCCAATAAAAGTATCCACTATACCACTTCCGTGTAGAATTTGTTATAAAAGTCCAGCGCGGATGAGTATGTCCTCGAAGTGCAGACATTGGTTTTGTAAAGAGTGCCTTAAAAATATTTTAAAAGAGCAAAATAAGTGTCCATTCTGCTATGAATATTTTGATAATCGAAACATATAAGTTGTTCACACGCGAATATATAAGATTATATTTATGAATAATAGCCAATAATAAAATAATAAAAAAAATATTAAAGTGATATATTTTATTATACAAGCATTTCATATACGTTTGTAAAATAAAGTTGTTAAGTTCTTTAAGTATTTTATAAAAATACATTTATTTCTATATTATGCCAACAAATACAATATAAAAAACACAATTTTTATTTTTTGAATTTTTTAAATTTAAGATATTACTGATATTCTTAATTTTTTAGGATAAAAATATATTATAGCCTAATCTATTTTTATTAAATTTTCAAAATTAAATAACTATTTTAATGATTTAACTTTTTTAATTTTTTATTTGATAAGCAGTTAGATCGAGTAAATTCATAGTTATGAAAAAATGATTATAATGCGGGCCCCAAAATCAAACCCAACCCAACCTGTTACAGGTGGTGTCTCGCAAGGATCACTTCTCGGGCCCCTACTGTACAACATCGAGTACAACAGTGTTCCGCTGCGACCGCACGTTCAAGTCATATTTACAAAGACGACACGCTGGTAATTATGGAAGGCGCCTCAACCGAGGAACCTGAATCTATGGTGAACTGTGCACTCAGCGCAATCACCGCCTGATCCAACTAGAGGGGAGTGGACTTAGCCTAGCCCTGGACAAGACCAATGTGGTCCTTTTCACCGGTAGGCACAAGTATACTCCCCACGGCTCGCTCTGCTGTGGGTGGAGATTTGACTAAAGAATTCCATAACATATCTGAGATACGTCATGGACAAACATCTCATGTTTCGGCAGCACATTCCTTGTGCGTCACATTACTCTTGGGTATGGCTAACGAGGGAGGCTATGCCGTATTGTGATTAACGTTATAAATCAAAAAGAATATACAAATCATCATAAATATAGTTTAAAAAAACTAAAAAACACGCTTTTAAAGCACATCAAACTAAAAAGTTAAAAATAATTTTTAAAATTAACTTAAAACAATAATGAACGAAAAATACTAGTATTATTGTGAAAAAAAGCGTCAGGCGCTCAATATACAAAAAATATGGCATAAAGCACCCACGGTTTTTTTCACAATAATACTAGTATTTTTCGTTCATTATTGTTTTAAGTTAATTTTAAAAATTATTTTTAACTTTTTAGTTCGATGTGCTTTAAAAGCGTGTTTTTTAGTTTTTTTAAACTATATTTATTTTTCACTTTTTAGTTTCATGTTATGATAGTAGTTAATATCAATATCATGGTTGTAACGGGTAACGGGAAATCAGGGTTCGATTCCGGAGAGGGAGTCTAAGAAACGGCTACCACATCCAAGGAAAGCAGCAGGCGCGTAACGTGGAGGTAGTGACGAAAAATAACGATACGAGAATCATCCTCCGTAATCGGAATGAATACACTACATATCTCTTAATGAGAATAAAGTGTATTAATATATAAGTTTTAATAGTAATTAGAATATATATATATTTAAAGGGACTTAAGTACGTAAACGTATCATGCATGAGGTATAGCCGTGTTTATGTGGGCGGGCATGGCGGAGGGAACATTATACACGAGGCATATACGGCGGCAGAGGCGTCGGCTGTAGGAATATATAAATGAATATTAACATATACGTATATATATTAATATATATATGTATATATTAATATTAGCGGTGGCGGTAGGAATATATAATCTTCGCATAATATCGCGGCACTTTTGCTGGCGTCGAAGACGCCATGTCCGGCGTGATCCTCGGGCGTCAATAGGTTAGCAGCGTAGATGACGACGGTGCGCGAGTGCGGATCAGTTTGTTGACGATGTTATTTTGACAATGGGAAGAAGACTATGGTTTAGCGGCGGGACGTCGTCGGCCGTGCAGCACTTGCTGGACTTTGCACCGCGGCGTAAAACGACGCGGGGCTGTGTCAATTACAATAAAAATTTGTTATATATATATATATAATTGATGATAAGCGCGCGTCTACGGGTTGGAAAATATTGTTCTCTACTAGTGGTGAGCGGGGTGGGGCGAATGCGTTACAACAGTATAGTCTCAAGGTCATACACGACAGGATACGCGACATAATAACACGTGCCGCGTGGAGTTACAAACTTACAAACAACAACAAACAAACAACATACAAGTGAAACTAATATAAGCGTGTTAAAAAAATTTAGCAAAAAAAGGTAAGAGATATATTAATTGGTGTTCGCGTCAAGCGTGAGAGCTGCACTGGTTGGGTGTGGTCAGCTGGTAGTGCTTGTGAGCCATCAGCTGTTAGGACCCCTTATCAGCGGTCGTTTATTGTTTGGTCGTTTTATTCAAAAAAGAAATATATGTACCTGTTGTAGTATTATACAGTTTAGGTTAAGTTACGTATGTTTTTCATTTTAATTAAGTGTTGTTTTTGTATGAATTAGTAAAACATTGTTTAAATTTTGTTTTTAAAATACATTATACATATTATTATTTTGAAGACATATAGCTGTTTTCATTTTGCCTTTTTTTTTTACATTGGCTGGTGCATTGTTGCAGTGAAACTATAGATATTGTATTACTGTTGTAAATTGTAATTCATTTTATTTATATAGAGCATAGCTGCCTGTAAGTAGTATGGAGTATTATATTTATGGATTATTTGGTTCGATAATGGTAGGTACAGTTGTTCGTATTTAATTATTTAGTTTTATTCATTGGGCTGGGTAAGCTTATTTTGTGTTAACAAAAAATATTTTTCTTTTGGCAATTTTAAATTGATTAGAAACCTTTTTTGTTGATTATTATTAGTTGCCCCTATTTTAAGCCGTACGGCGGAGTTCTATTCCTCATTTTTATTTTGGATTTTTTTAGAACAGCTCAGACGGCAACAATTGGTTAAAAGGATAAATTATGATGGATCTCAGGGGTTGATAAATATTCAATAATTAATGTTAGATATTCCTTTAAATTTTATAAATTATTATGGTTTATTATGCAATAGATTGTTTGTGGTTCGAAAGTATAAATTAAATTTTACTTACCTTATATCTTAAGTCACGTAATAATATTTTAAGTAATCTAACTTTGATTCTGTATATTTTATTTTCTGTGACACAAAATCTATGACTACTCTATCTTTTTTTGAATGTAAAAGATTCTAATCACACTATATTTTTATCAGAAATATAATTTTTATAATCAACCCTTTTTTATCTTTGCTGAATAAGTTTTTATTTTGAGAGAGTATATTTTATTGAGAGATCTACAACAATATTTTATAAAGCTTCTTTTAGCCTGTCCAAAACAAGATTCAAATATATAACATAATGTGTTACGGCGCTAACGCTTTGAGAAGATGCGGCACAATTATCATCAAGACAAAAATTACTAAAACACTAAATAATATATTTGTAAGTTTCATTGCGTTTTCTGTTGCCGCAGTGTTTGTTAGAACAAAGACATTAAGCTCAGATACTAGATACCCAATACGTATAGGATAGCAATACACTTAGTTTAGTAAAATGGTTATTAAGTTAATTATTATTTTAGTTTAAACTGAGAAAATTATGACTTTTAAATTTAAAAACATTTTAAATTAATTAAAAATGTACTTTTTATATTCGTTTATTATTCATAAACAACATCATATTATTTTAAAAACCAACCAAAAAGACACACAATTAATAATAATCTTCGCATGACATGACAGGACTTTCGTTGGCGTCGGCAATGCATTAACTTGTATGCAAAAAGTTATTATTTTGAATCTTCCCCTGTGTGTAGATAAATGGTCAGATTTTCAAGAAATTTTTACCAAATAAAAAGGCAATATCTGAGGTTTCAATATAAAAAAAAATTATTCTAAATTTTATTTAAAATAAAAAAAAGTTGAAATTTACGGATTTTGAAACTCCTTTTTGTATTTAAAAATTACATTTTTTGTTTAATTTCATTGGAAATTTACTTATAGAAGATAAGGTGTCAGGACAAATTTTTTTTTTTATTTTATAGTAAATGACATAACCTTTAATTTGATATATGTTTAAAGGACGCAGTATTTCCGGAACATTTTCAAAAGTTAAGTTGAATAAGTTAGTTATTGTAAAAAAGTTACTATATTAAAACCTCCCCTGTGAGCAGGTTAAGTGTTAGTTTTAAAAAAAATGATATTCNTCCCCTGTGTGCAGGTTAAGTGTTAGTTTTAAAAAAAATGATATTCAATAAAAGGAAAATATCTAAGGTTTCAAATAAAAAAATTATGTTGATTTGTTAATTTTTGAAAAAGTTATGGCAGTTTTAAGTATTAAAATATTTCATGTTAAACGGTGATTTTTACATAAAAATAAATATACAGTTTAAAAAATGTAGTTTAAAAAAAATAAAAAAACACGCTTTTAAAGCACATTGAACTAAAAAGTTAAAAATAATTTTTAAAATAAGTTTAAAATAATTATGAACGAAAAATACTAGTATTATTGTGATAAAAGCGTTGGGCACTCAATATACGAAAAATATGGCACAAAGCACCCACGCTTTTATCACAATAATACTAGTATTTTTCGTTCATAATTATTTTAAACTTATTTTAAAAATTATTTTTAACTTTTTAGTTCGATGTGCTTTAAAAGCGTGTTTTTTTAATTTTTTTAAACTATATTTATTTTTCACTTTTTAGTTTTATGTTATGATAGTAGTTACTATCAATATCATGGTTGTAACGGGTAACGGGAAATCAGGGTTCGATTACGGGGAGGGAGTCTGAGAAACGGCTACCACATCCAAGGAAAGCAGCAGGCGCGTAAATTACTCACTCCCGGAACGTGGAGGTAGTGACGAAAAATGACGATACGGAAATCATCCCTCGTAATCGGAATGAATACTTTATATCTCTTAATTAGAATAAATCGTGTTAATATATTAATTTTAATAGTAATTAGAATATATATATTTATACAAATAATGCGACTTAACTACGTAAAAGTATCATGCACTAAGTATAGCTGTGTTTTATGGCCGGGCGGGTCGGACTAANTGGGCGGCGGGTCGAACTAACGTTATAACCGAGGTATAAACGGCAGTAGGAATATATACGTAAGCCGTAGGAACGCGGATGATAATGGTCAGTTAAAATAAAAATTTGTTTATATATATATAATATTGATGACAAGCACACGTGTACG